GCATTTTCTGATAGCCTTGCGAGTTTTAAGATGTTTTCCTTGCATTTTATTGCGGTATCGGGCAAAAGGGATGAGATGAAAACTTGGATACACTGCAAATCAATAAATTCCATTATAAGGCGTTTTTCTTTGAAACTTTAAGAAACAGATTATATTTTCCCAAGCTCTTTATTAACTTTTAATAATGGTTCAACGAAAAGATTATAATAATTTGTCACATTAAAATTTTAATTGGATGAAACATTTCGATTCTGTTTTTCGTCACGCGATCCATCTATCCGAGAATATTCTCATTACAATTTATTGGAAATGAAAGCTCGCCGCCAAACAAAGGAAGAATTTGGACGGGAGAAATTTCATTCTCCATCTTCTCGCAGCGCAACGTCGTTTCCTCGAAGCTGTGGTGCTCGTGCACTCACTTCCACAGTATTTGACTTTCACTCACTTCGCGCGCGCCTATTTCTTCAATTTCCGCGAACGAAGACAAGTCAAGATCCCCGCAGGCGAGATGCTTACGGCGAAGAGACTTGCAAATAGAATTCCACGCATCTAAGATGCGGGCCGGGCGACGCGACGCGAGGCGACGCGACGGAGGGATGAGACGCAGCATGAAACGTGACGCGTTTGATCGAGTGCAACGCCTCGCGGGGTTTAGACGATTGGGATGGATGACAGGAGGATGGGGATGGTAAGGGTGATCGCCGAATGTGCTGAACGCGCGAAGGAGCCGCTTCTCATTCGATATCCGTGGCTGATTTCGAGGTACCCATCCCGAGCGCCGTCCAACAATGGAGTCTCTTTTGTCGACGAGAAAGAGGATATCGCTGTTGAACGTCAATCGACTGGAAACGATCGATGCGTTTACTGGCTTAAGCGATTTCCCACTTTGTTCGAGCCGTGCCGCGTGCGCGATTTATATTCGTGGCCGTGCGCTTTCACGATATATTAATACGACTGTGACGATATTGCTATGATTTACTTTCAATCTATGCGAGCTGTATAAATATGCATTGACAGGTAGATTCTTTCCACATCGAGCTAATAGAATGATTATTCTGTTATATAAATTCAATGTTGACATAATATATATTTAACGCTTAAACGAAATATTGCAATTTTAGATTTATTACTTAATAGTATAGTATTATGAATTAATCATTCATTCGTGCAGAATTTGTCAGAGATTTTTTTTTTTTTTATCGAACCGGAAAAAATTTTTTCGAGTGGATCAGTTATACGAATAATTGATATATCGAGTGTAGTCGATATATTATTATATTTTTATATAAATGATATTAATTATATTAAATTACTACACTTAAATGATATAATGTAACGAGTACCGTTGTTCATAATATGGATTAAAAATGACTTATAGAAAAGGAGATTAAGAAACCTGTTATTGCTGCAAGAATTATGTGCGATAATAATGACAAACCGCCACCAGAATTTTCTCCGTGGTAGCCGTTATTACTGCGAGATTTATCACCGACAATGTTGGAAATTAAAAACGCAAGTGCTCCGCATTTGAAAATGAGAATTTCGCCGGCTTTGCTTTACTGTTAAAATTGAGTACACAAACTAATGCGGAATGAGAGGAATGCAAATAACGTTGATTCAGCTCGAGCGTTTGCGAGCCTCTTTTGCTTTTCTAGTCAAAAGCTTATCTGATGTATGGTTAAGGCATATCAGATATGCAATTAACAATAACGTACGAGGCATACGTTTTACCATTGATAAAAATGTTATTTTAAAGAATCAAATAAATTAAAAATGTAAACAATAAAATAAATTCCAGTCTTTTTAATTAACATTATATTACATTTTATATATGCACAAAAATATAAATATTCTACAAATTAATGATACTACAAGATATTTTCTTTTAAAAATCTTTTAGGAATATATTGTACATATTATACAGTTCCAAGCTGCATTAATTTTTAATGATGGTTACTTAGGTGTACGATTTTTTTAAATTGTGGCATAACTTCTATTATAGATGTGTTCGCAACAAGATGTTATAGCAGACTGAATCGCTGCTGCGTGTTCAGACACGTTTACGCGTGTTTTGTTTTTAATTAGTCTCGATTATTCTACTTACCTCTATAGCCAATTGACCCAGGGGTCTCCCTTACTATAATTATGTCATTCCTTATATACAAATATACTGTAAAATTACAAGCGAATGCATCCAAAATTTCACATTTCTTAATATATTATCTATTTTTGTAGTCGGATTGAATTCAAACTATAAGAGATTGTGTATTATTACCTAAAACCTTTAATAAGTTAAGCATCTGTTTTTCATCTATTATTATCTTTAAAAAATTAACAATTCGTTATCTTACCCTCTTCGTCATCTTACCTCCCTTTCCCCTACGCATTTTATAATTTATGAAATAAACTAATATCTCTGATTATATAAATAAAATTTATATAATGAAAATTAATTAATACTGTTCTATGGATCTTCAGTATAATATTGATCTCTAAGTAGATTGTGACTGTATATATTCGGATTTCCTTATTTATACTTTTATCTTCTATTAATTAATTAATACTGTTCTATGGAATTTCAGTATAATATTGATCTCTAAGTAGATTGTGACTGTATATATTCGGATTTCCTTATTTATACTTTTATCTTCTATTAATTAATTAATACTGTTCTATGGAATTTCAGTATAATATTGATCTCTAAGTAGATTGTGACTGTATATATTCGGATTTCCTTATTTATACTTTTATCTTCTATTAATTAATTAATACTGTTCTATGGAATTTCAGTATAATATTGATCTCTAAGTAGATTGTGACTGTATATATTCGAATTTCCTTATTTATACTTTTATCTTCTACAGTTAGTGTGTACATATACAGTAAGTTACATTATAAAGTATCTGAAAATTAATAAGAGTTTGCTTAATCGAAATAAATTAGAGATGATGTTAATATTTAATCAGTTGTCTACGTTAAAATTATACATATCATATTTTTTTAGATAGACGAGTTTGTCTCTCTTCTATGCCGTATAAAATCTTTAATTAAACATTTCTCACTCTAATTTTATATTAATTTTATCTTAATATGATATTCGCCGCGGCGCCGTTATCTTTATGAATTTATGACCAGATACAGCAGTCATTCGGGACAGAGAAATTAAACCTCTCTGTTTTTATAAGAGAAAACCCTCTTATTATATATTATTTTATTGTGATCTTATAACATCCTCCTTTCCAACACGTTCATAAAAAATTTTAATTACCATGTGACATTTTAAATATCACATGTCTTACAATTCACAGCTTAATTGTAACGTACGTAGTTGAATTTATATATGAAATTTATTACGAGTATTGACAAAAACGATATAAATACCTGCGACAATTCATGTAAAATTCAATGTGACATGTTTATTCTTTATATGAAATTTGTTAAGCGTCTGTTTTTTTTTTTTTTTTTTTTTTTTTTTTTGAGATAAATATGAAACGACACGACATGTAAATGTAAAATATATTTATTCTCTACATTGCCGCTATTCATTATCGATATTAAATTATTAATATTATTTGTCTAATATTATTTTATCTCGTAATTTTTATTGGAATATTTTAAAATACATTATATCTCAATAATCTTTTTCTGATATGTCCACATTTTTACATTTCAATCTGCAAAATATTGACTATTTTCAACAAGTTTCTCTTCTTTTCTATTTGGCTCATCATTATTCTGTTACTTAACTGTTTACCTATTATCTTATTTTCCTTGACTAATTCTCAAGTTAACTGAAGAACGGTTATTTATTATGTTCATACTTGAAACTGTTTCTACAATGAAAAAATATTCCTATGAGAAATGTAGGCGTATAAATATACATGTGTAGATACATTAAGTTTTACATTTTATCTGGCATAAACACCTCCAATCCGACATGGAAACTGATTATGAAGGGATCTCATTCACGAGTAGATATTCGCTTCGGTACACCAGGAAGGATAAATCGGAAATTTAGCAAACAGTACATTTCGTGAACGGTGCGTGTGCTGGCAGCTGTTAATTGAAATTATTCACAGATGGTAATCATAGTAATGGCCGTTATTGAATGGCACATCTCATAATCGCTTCATTAGCACGCAATGCGCGCAATCGTAACGTATACAATGTACTTACTCTCGGCTGCAGTATAATGCGCTAATTACAAACGAATACCTTGAATTAATATATGATAATTATCTCATGGGTGGAAGCATACGTATTTATAGTAGAGCTAATTACGAAGACATCGATTGTGAATCGAAATGTATTCATGTATTAAATGCATTATGAGACTACAAAATCGCGAATAGCGAATGCAACAGAGTAAATATTGGAAATACAATGTGTATAGAATTTGACGAGAGATACATTAATACACAGAAACGGCAATCTCTCGCTCTTGCAAGTATTATATTATTACAAGTATTATATTACGAAAAAAAAGCGAAGAACACATACATTTTATTTGTCGTATCCATAAACCACGTGTATCTGCGGCTAGCTATGTGTTCGTGCATTAACTAGGTCCGGAAGTCGCAATCCCTGCATCCCTGGAATTCATTTTGCGGTGAGCTTCGGGCGAGCGTACACCTCGTGGGCGTTTAGTTTACGAACATTCTCTACCTTAATCGTATTACCGTATTTTCCTGACATATCTTCTCGTACATATTATCGGTTTCGCGTAATCATCCCTCTTGCGGTCTACAGATCAAGAACTCGATTCGGCCGCACTATTGATGCACTGTGCTCGTGATTATTCTGCAAACAATCGCATAATCCGTTATCGAAGTTAATATTATTAGAGAAACGTAGACAAGACCTACATTCAGCAACGATATTTCGATTTTGCTTCGTTAGTAATATTTGTATACGAAATATAATTTTAACAACACGATTTTCCTTTACAGCACAATCGTTAACGGTTTATTTAATGATTGCTTTGATTCTTTTTGTTTTAGGTGTAAGGAATCTGGTAGGTACTTGAAGGATCTTCCGCCTACAGCAGTAATTATTTGCTTCCACAACGAAGCTTGGTCTGTGTTGTTGCGTACAGTGCACTCCGTGCTGGATAGATCGCCAGAACATCTCATACAGGAAATCATTCTGGTCGATGATTTCTCCGATATGCGTAAGTTGTTTTTCTACTAATACAGAAAAGTTAACAAATTCGTTATTATCTTTCGTAACCCTCCGAGTCTGACGTTAAAATCTGTAATACTGTTACTGACGCTGCATCTGTGAGACCTGTTTAATTTATATTAATTAAAAAGCACTAATTTTAAGAAATCAAAATAATAAACGTAACTTGTAAAAAGAATAAATATTAACAAGAAAACTGCTCCTTAACGTAACTGTCCCTTGATTTTGATGGGTTTGAGTATACTTTAGAGCATCAAAAAAAATATTAGATTATTTTTTATGTGTTTATTTCCAGATTTATGAGAAGAAACAACATCTTGAAAATAACCTCTCGATAATAAAACTTATTTCATTTTCGAATATTTTTGCAACTATCAGATATATAAACAAAAGTTTTATGATATTTTATAATACTGTCATAATTGTCGAAAATGTCAAATTTTTTATATTCCCTTCAGAGATTGTCGACTTCTAAATCTTAGAAACGTATAAAAAGATGCTGGATCTATGCTCTAATATCTTTTGATGCTTTATAATTTATCAAAATCCAACAAAGCTCATCAACATCACTGAAAAAGTTCTAAACGGTTCTCTTGTAAATATAATTTTAATAAGAATAATTCAAATTTTTGCATAATGCAACATAAAAAGAATTGAATTGTTCGACATTTTTCGACAAAGAGATTTATAATTAAATGCTCCCAACGGATCTACCGTCCACTCCAGAAAGTTAAAAATTGTCGAATTTCATAATAACGCACAGTAGACTTTGTTTTATTTATGCGTGGTTCAAAACAGATTTCAACTTTGTTTTCAATACCGGAAAATTACGAGAAATAATTTATACGATCATTTATCGAGGACAATTAATACGTAATTTGTATCTCTATTGCACGACATATGATATATTCAAGGTATTTCTTTCGTATAAAGCGAAAAGTAGACGAGTTACTCTCGCGTTATCGCTCGAACCGCACACGTACTTTAGATTCAAAACGAAATATCTTCTATGCTCGATCGAAGCGGAATAGCATATCGTTTCCGTAGCGTCATAAATCCTCGTGCAGCTCTCATCGCCGAGCGATGAAAAATCCTCGATAGAACGCCAAAAGGGGAAACTCGTAAGCACAGAACGCGAACCATTATATTCGCGTACATGCTCGTACAACCGCGTCTCTATTCAGAACGGTGATTCGTTATCGCGACAGTGTTTCGTAGTTTTGCGATAGATCGATTAATTGCGATCCATCTCTCCACTGTGTCGCCGCGACGTGAATAGAAGAGAAACTCTCTCAGCCTGCTTTACAGATACCCTGAAAATTACGAGAGGTTCATACGAACTCTGCTGCTCGGCTCTCTATAAGTTTAACATCCTCACTTGTTCTCGTTTTCCGAAATCGGGCGTGAACGCGCTACTATAGTGTATCAAAAATTACAGCTATGGGGAAATACTTATACAAGAAAGGTTCAATCTGAAAACTCGTAAAAATCTGAAACTTTGCAAAAATAAAATACATGTACCTATATTTACAATTATATAACTATATATAATTATATAAATTTTCTATTTTGATTCTCTAACATCGAATACACTTAAAGAAATCTAACATTTCTGTTAATATCCCAGAAATTAAATTAAACTATAAATTATCAGTCGAAACAGCAAATCGCTATGTGCGACAATCAGGTTCAAATGTATTTTGTTTCTACATTTTTTGTATTTTATTTTATTTGTGAATTTCAGATTAAAAATAATTAAAAAATATATCTTGAAACTAACGTGGTTCTATAATAATATTAACACATATAAAAAATAAGAGCATAAAAAACCACAGCACAAGTTATAGTTTGTGATATTTAATTATTATTACATTAATTAAAACATTAAATAATATCACAAACTATAACTTGTGCTGTGGTTTTTTATGCTCTTATTTTTTATATGTGTTAAAAATAATTGTTTATTTGCCAAACTTTTCTTAGAAAAAAGAAATTTAGAGAAAGAAATTTTGAAAAAGAAAAAAAACTATTTGAAGCTGTTTCTATATTTTTTTTATAATAAATGCTGTTTCGTGAAATGAAGAAATAAAGAATGTACATATATATATGTACACTTTAGCGAAGAAATAATTGTCATTGTTCAAGTTTTGATGTCTTTATTAACTTGAAAAACTATGTTTGTGATTATTCACATTCATCTGTCGGAATACATGTTTCTCGCCTAAAGGCACATACGTGAAGTTGATAGAAATATATGAAACATGTAATTTCGTAAATGCGGGCGAAACAAATACGTACGTATTGTTTGGATGCAAAAAGGCAATTATAGCTTCAACGTAGTTGCACGTTTTCGAATAAACTGACGTTTATACAACAGCCACTAAATCGAAATCTAAATTACAAAACTAGTAAAACTGGAATCACTGTTAGCAAAAAAAGACCTATAGTTATATAAACTATTTACGAGCGTCAGTTATATTTAAAAAATATGCATCACACGTTGATACATATAAAATATCAATTTCAGAATAGATGAAGGTTTGCGTCAACATTCCTGAACTAAAAATATTATATTATTTTTTAGTTTAATTGTAGAAAAGACAATCGAAGAAAGGACAATCGGTAATCGCATGGAATCCTACCAAATAATACAGGCGGATGAACATAAAAATCCTAAGAAAGGGTGTCTGAGATTAAGCTGGGTTCACAGTATACATAGCTAGGATAGTTGCTGCAATCTTTATTAAAAGCTCAAGATAAGCTCTCGTCCCGACCGGAAGTTAAACCTATAAACATAATTACTTGCTTCAGCAATTTCCTGGCCAATATTTTATATACTATTAACAGACAATTGCTTTATCACAGAAGGAGATTATAATACTGCATCTCATACATGCTTTATCTTTTTCGCAAAGATAATTAAAAAATGCGAACACGATAAATGAATTTATACATGCTTTTATTTAAGACGATTGCAACGTATATAATTCGAGAGTTTCTTTATACATATGAATTTCTTTATATATAATTATTTTCTTATAATTAGTCGAATCGAATATTTTATTTCAATTATATGGATATTATATTACAATATGATAATTTTTTATTATAAAAAATTATCTCTTTATTCGCCGAAAGGGGCGGTGGGTTAAAATGAATTCAATGATTAACAAAGTCCACAAGAAAGTTACAGCATAGACTTTAGCCTCCTCGGCAAAACTCACGCACGATAATTAGCTTTTATAAAGGGGATTGGCGACGGGGATTACAGAGTTAATTATGAGCGCTCTCGACGGCGACAGACTGTGCTCTTTGAGCGGTTCCATTATCTACGCCTCATATAGTGCACTCAGCAAAGTCATAATGAAATCTGCAATAATGGCCAGGGTCGGTTTATGCGTGCCTCTTTGTGTTCGAGGAATTCATTAGAAATTAATTCGGTTTGGAATGCGCGCGGATTCCACGCGCGCGAGCCGGTTGCGCGTGCATTAAATGTCTGATCTCTGATCTCTTACGGTCCATCTCTTCTCGTTCGAGTGCAGCTAACGAGAACGTAGCGCTCTTCGTTCAGCACACTTCAGTGTATTTCGAAAGGAACATTTTCTCGATTCGTAACTACCGGCGAGATCCATACAACGATCCCTATATATACAACGATATCTCGGCACGAGGCACGAAAAAATTCTTTTGTGAACCGATACTCAATACGGAATCGCTGAATGGCAATCGAGCATGACGACTTTGTATTAAAGCTTATCAGACGCGCAACTCAACAAAAAGGAAACAAAATCAAGTGTCTCGTGCGGTAATCATTGTTCTTGCACGAAACACGTTGATCCGTAGAATCCCATTATACTATCCATAGTTAATCGAGCTTACAGGGCAGGGGCTTAGGATTAGTGCTACGGTCCCTCATAAAGCTACCCTAACGGAGAATAAATCACGAATATCTCCTAATTGCTGCCTAGCGATCCATAACTATAGGCAGATATATGTTTTAAATTTATATCTCGCTTATGTTTGTCAAAAATAATACAAGATAACAGAGACCTTGAAACATCCACACAAGTGATATCGAAGATTTTCAGTGGCAATCGATATTATTTTTTTTTAAGATCAGGATTGTGTATATTCAAATGAAAAATAGATAAAGGAATTTAAAATAATAAATCGATTCCTCGCCGACGCAATAAAATTATTTAGGCCCGATTGCATTACTTTGATTTTAAGCGAAACTTAAGACTCTCTCTATCTCATTTTAAAAACTAAAAAGAGACAGGGACAAAGAGAGTTTCAAGTCTCGATTAAAATTAGGATAACATTGATGCAACCGGGCTTTAGAGATTTTAATGTCATTCAGCACTATTGATATTGTTCTTAAGATTCTTATGAGTATCGAATTGCTAGTCAATTTAATTTGTAATATTACTGCGGGAGTTTGCATTTCATAACCGAAAAATTATTTTGGCTCGCAATTTAAAGGACTGCATATGAGTAGTATATATAATACGTATATATAATATACATAGTATTGTATATATAAATACGCGTAGAATTATATAAGAAAGATATAATTCAGCTAGATCATTAAAAGGTATTTGTCTCCTATTGGTTGTGTACTCACATGTATATAGTCTTATGAGATTCTTAGAAAATAATAAAATGCTGTGACGATAAAGGAGTTTATACATTTTAGGCGATTTGGGAAACACGCAAGGATCATTGGATTCATCTTTTTTCTTATTCAATTTTATTTACTATACTGAAGATACGATTATCAAAAAATTTATAGTTTACGAAATATTTAATCACTTTATGCCAACGTGCTATAATAAAGTATAAAATATCTCTCGAAAACTAATGGGTTTTTTATATCTCTATCTCAATGCTTTTATATGCAAAATAATTACACTAAAAAAATCATATAATTCTATTTTAAAAAAGTGGAGATAACCTTCATATCTTTTTGATGCTTCTATTTAGAAAAAAATTATGGCCAAAATATGTTCTCTTTAAAATAATTCCATTTTTATCTGAGACATTATTAATCGTTTCGAAAAAAATTGACTGTATTAATTAAAATGGACTACTTTGTATAGTGCAAATAAAAGTTATGACTTTAATAATAATTTATTTTAATAAAGAAACGATTTTTATATAAAAATAAAGAGAAATTCGTATATATGGTTCAACAAAGTGATAAAATTAACCGTTGTTTTCTCTTCAATTTAAGATATGAAAAAAAATATTTTCCGAATACTTGAACAATTTTAATCGATTTGTAATTTAGTAAGTAAAACTGAGTAAGAAAAAAGATGAACCCAACGATCCCTGTGTACTTTTCAAGTCGCCTAAAATACATAATAGTAACAATATTAATTACAATATTTATTACAGCTTTATAAAGTTGCATAGCTATTATTTTCTAGCTAAACAAACCTTCCTAAAAGTTGTGAACTACGTCCCTTTTCTGTATTCAATCGTTAAGATACCTTAATGGCGAATTAAAGGCTAGTTTAGCGGACATAATTTTTATTAGAAGGCTAAGTAACTTTTTTAATCAAATGATGAAATGTTAATAACATGTATATAAGAAACATGCAATTAAAATGAATTATTATACCAGGATTATCGTTCTTTCTATTTAGCATACGATTAAATTTATTGTGAATAAATAGGGAATAAATTTACGACGAGAAGGGTGATTGTTGTTACCGCAACAGCTTGCGAATGACATCGTAAATAAACCGTAATCTGACATTAAGGACGTAATCGATTTTAAAGAAACCTAGAGAAATAGCTACATTCACGTGACTTTATTGTTGCATTTATTGTTCGCCGAAGCATAGATCCTACGGGCAACTTATACCTATTTCAAATCGGAAGTCTAGCAAACAACGGAGACAAAATCTACAGGTCCGCGAGATTAATATTCGAGTAAATCCTGATATTAAAGACGACAAGTTCTGTCAATAACGCTGCGTCACGTATTACGAGATTACGCCATGAATTATGCGACTGTTTAATATTAAATGCTAATTTAAATTTCCTATAAAAAGGATATAAGCTATTTTAAAGTTAAGATAGAACAATGCGACAAATACTCCATTTATTTAGTATAATGCAACGGAAGATACAATATAGGATATAACTAAATATAAATATATATAGAAATATTTAAGTTAATTACGCGTCGCGATATTTTGTTATTTTGATGCTTTGTTGGGTGGAAAATAACGAAAAATCAATCCTTTCGCAGCTCATCTCAAGCGCCAATTGGAGGACTATATGATGAATTATCCAAAAGTGAGAATTATCAGGGCGAATAAACGCGAGGGCCTTATCAGGGCGCGCTTGTTAGGCGCTGCGGCGGCCAAAGCTCCGGTTCTCACGTATCTGGATAGCCATTGTGAATGTACGGAGGGCTGGCTGGAACCTCTTCTGGATCGGATCGCGCGCGATCCGACGACGGTAGTTTGTCCGGTGATCGATGTTATAGACGACACTACCCTGGAATACCACTGGCGCGACTCGAGCGGTGTAAATGTCGGTGGATTCGATTGGAATCTCCAGGTAAACGAAATCTTCACGCCGTTCTCTTCCGAACATTGGGAAACGATAGAAAATACCTACGTCTGTCTTGCCGGAATGCAATTGATTTTCACATGTGACACGGCGTGACACCAAACTAATTATTTACCGGGGAAGAAATTGATTGATTGATCGTGTAATTTAAAAGACACGTAGGATTGCATTTTATTATATAAAAAGTCTTTTTTACATCTATATTCTTTAAAATTATTTGTTTCTAAATTGGCAAGATGCGATTAAAAAAAAAAATAAAACTAGAAAATGTAAGACATTAATTTTTTAAATGACTTTTGAGTCTCATTTTATTAAGTTACTATCAACTTGTAAGATTTTATGATCAAAAAGTCATGACCATTTACGGGCGGATTCTTGACATATATCAACATTTGTTGACAAGTTCAATTGGCACGCGGTACCAGAGAGGGAGAGAAAGAGGCACAAAAACCCGGCCGAACCCGTTTGGTCACCAACGATGGCTGGCGGCCTCTTTTCAATAGACCGAGCCTTCTTCGAACGGATCGGTACATACGATAGCGGCTTCGACATATGGGGCGGCGAGAATCTTGAATTATCATTTAAAACCTGGATGTGCGGAGGTAAGACAAGAACGTGATGCGCAATAAAAAAAGGTTTTGTTTTTCTAATTTAGAAAATTAAAGTTCTAAGTCATTGTGATCTTATAATATGGAAGAATTATCTTTTTCTTTTTTTATTTTGTTCTTGGCGCTAAATGCGAATTGTTTTCCTTTTATACATTATATTTTCGTTGTTCTTTATTTCGGTAAAAATTGCATCCATCTATATTTTTATTCAAATGTTTCTTTTTTTATTTTCATGTTTGACACTTATTTGCATTTGCACGATTCTTAAAATTAGCCAGCAACATGTAAATGTATAATTCAACCGAATGAAAACGTTAATCTAATAACTCGACGCGTTCTCAGGCACCCTGGAAATCGTGCCGTGCTCGCACGTGGGTCACATCTTCAGGAAACGTTCGCCTTACAAGTGGCGCAATGGCGTGAACGTGCTCAAGAGGAACAGCATAAGACTGAGCGAAGTGTGGCTGGACGAGTACGCCAAGTACTACTATCAGAGGATAGGTCACGACAAGGTGAGTACTTCGCATCGTCGCATGCATAACTTTCTTTTCATATACAACCTCTTGTGCAAATGCGGGGGAGCAATCCATGTAGCGAGTTATTATAGTACAATCGACATAGTAAAATGCGAAAAATAAAATGAGACAAGGATTTTATACGATTGAATGGAGATGAACTTTAATACGCTCAACAATATTCATATAAACAGAGAGAGAGAAACATTCTGTAATATAAAAACACAGGAATAATTTAAAAAAATTTATATTCGAAGTTATATCGAATTGTAGCACATACTCTCTGTCAGGAAATAGATAATTAGTGATAAATTATCTTTTATCGTGAGCTAAAGATCCCATTTCTTGCCGCGGTGTATCGGTAAACCATCGAGTATGTTTCTTTAATCCAAGTTTCCTGTAAACATTGGCTGAATGGGTTGGTTGGAATGGGATGAAGGATAACGATAAAGGTGGTCGATGATGGAGAGGATCGTAGACCAAGACTTGTCGTAAAAAGGGCCATAAACGCGCCAAGTGCCCTTAAGGCTCGTGCGCATGTCCTCGCTCTCCTCCGTCGAAGGACGTTTCTTTCGACCCCTTCTATAACGATCTGTCATTTATCCTTGATGCTTGTCCGCCCCTACTCTCCTGCCGAGATCCAATCGGCGAGATAAATCGAAGCGTAGAGAATAAATCGCTTCCGTAAGCACGTCGCTCTATGTAATGATCGAATCTATCGAGAATGTCGTCCTCATGGATGGCTTCATAATGTAATGAGATAAATCGCTCTTTGTTTATCTCTATCTTTAGGCGTAAGTAAAGGTTCGCAGTAGTAATATCAATGGTTGGTTAGACAGTATTGGAAACACAAGTATTGAATAAAAAATTAAGTGTTTTATTATTGAAAAATAATTATTATTGTAATATTGTAAAAAAATAAAACTTTGTCAATTTTCTTGTTTCTGTGATTTAATTTGAATTATAGCAAACAATTTTTTAACAAATATTTTCTATTCTAAGGGATATAAAAGTCCTATGAATTATAAATTTACTTTATTCACGATTTATTTTTAATTGATAAATTATTCTTTAACTATTATTTTTATTTTTGTTTTATAAATTTTTTAGTTATTATTTCTGTATGTGTAATGTCTCTCTTTATGTTTATTTTAATATCTATACAATTTTCATATTTTTTTATCTTTTATTGCCAGCATAATTCTGTTACACA